ACGCACAAAAATATTCTGGGCATGTTATATATCAAACAAAACCCTAACTATTCCTCTATAATTTGGTGAAGGAATCAATTAAAAATAATATAGGGTGTTCAAATAAACGAGAATCAAAATGGTATCGTTAATAAAAGTCTACCCTGTACTATTATTATTATACTTTCGATAATAGGAAATGATACTGTTCATTATATTGAGCAACTATTAGCACGTTACATTATTATTATAAATATCACTTTTAATATATTGATATTTAATTAATTATTTTTATCTAAGTTTAAAAATATTTATTGTGATGAGCTAACATATTTTCAAATTAGCATTGTTGGAATAAATATATTTTTAAATATTTATTTTTATATCAATGGTAAACTGTATTTATTATTCATAAAAGTGGGCAATAAAAAATATTATTCTTAATTTTAAACAGTAATTATAAACTTTAAAAACTATCATGCCTATTAGATTATTTTAATATGTATAGATTATTTTAATATGTATAGATTATTTTAATATGTATAGATTATTTTATTTTATATATTACCTTCATAATTATATCATTTTTAAGTTTTATAAAAAGTGGTTAAAATTATAATGTTGTTTTTATTATACAGTATTATCAATAATGAGAATAATTATACAGTATATTATATAATTTAAATTAGTATAATGTTTAAGTTTTATTATATAAAAACAATGGTAATTATAATGTTGTTTTAGTATATTATTGACTTATACTAATGTGTTTAATGTACTGGTAGTTGGACTTTAGCTATAAGTGCTGAGGTTAAAAGACCTGTATGTCAAAACAACCGTTTCAAAATATTTATTTATTAGTCATATAAATATCAGTAATTTTATATAAATAAATTATGTGTTCGTATCGGTTGATCAAGGTCCATATTTTATGATATTCTTAAAATAAGTTTTCATAGCTAGATAATAAGTGTAAGTTTAGTAAGTGTTTATACTTATTTTACACACTAGGTAAAATATTTAAATATATACGTTAACAGTATATACAATATTAAAATTGTTGTATTATTTTCAGTTTATTTCTGATATGTGAACTTTAAATATAATAAAAAAATAATTTTAAACTATAATTATTACTCTGAAATTAGAAATATATTTATCATGAAAATAATGTCATTTAGCTAATATACTAATTAAACTAATTTGTGGTATTTAAAAGTATTGTTTAAAATAAAAATTTATCAGTTATTTATAAAGTTTTTATTCGACTTTGTTAATGATAATGCTTATTTGCGAGATTACATAATAATTCAATATATTATTAATTTTAAAAAGGTTTGTTTATAACATCAAACTGGCATTTGAATTCAATGTTTATACATTTATTGTTTTATTTTAAAAACACATTTGACATTATTTTGAATAACAAATCAATTACTTTAAACACATTGATAATTAGATAAAAATAGCATATCACATTAAATTGTATTATACAAATATTCATTGTACAGTTTCTAATAAACTGTAACAATTTTAGCGATCATAGAATGCTGCATATTTGTTGATCGTGAATTACCTGCTTAATGTTATCATTCTGATCTTGGTGGATTTTATCGTAAATACATTTAAACTCCTCAACATCAAGCTTAGTATCGGAGCAGGCAACAATTTTGGCAATAATGTCCTGGCGCATTATCTCAATCCTTTCCAATTTGGCCGCGACATAATGTCGAACTACATTTTCCGGGACGGCACCTACTTTTTTGCAGTCAATGGCGCCAAACATGTAGGTGCCTAACCGGCAATAGTCGTAATATGGCTTGGTGCTTTTGTCCGTTTTTATGAAGTCGATAAAACTTTCGCAAACCGTTTCAGTGTACTCGTCGCAGTGGGTGACAATCATCATGGCTATTTTTGAGTACCTCTCACCAAGTGCCTCGGTAAGCAATTTAAACACATTGACATCACTCTGTTCTGTAGTACCCGCCTTGGTCACCATGCACACCACGTTGAGCCAGGTGATATTGCGCCGCACGCACTCGGTGGCCAGGCTCATTAATTGTTCATCGGCTCCGTTTTTATTGTCCAGATGCTTTTCGTCCAAACCCGGTGTGTCTATGATGTTTATTTGGTACGATAGCCCGGTATCATTATCTTTCAAAATGAGCGTGCTAATTTGGGGATTTTCCGTGTTGGTTAAAGTGTCCCTGGTTGAAGTGCCTATTTGCGGATCCACCAACGTGTTTACAAAGGTACGTTTGCCCACTCCCGAACGGCCTATGAGTAGTACGTTGATACATTTTGCAGTAGTGACCAGGTGTTTGCCATGACCCAAATTACTGTCTTTGGGAAGGTAGTCCGGTATTTTGACCAAGTTGTCCGACATTAGTTACCTAATCAATTAATTAAAAAATCAAAATTAGCTAATATAAAATTTTGTACAAAACATGAAACAAATATTAAAAATATTTTTAAAGTTATATAAATATAGTTATTTAAAATTCATAACAATTAATAATTTATAATATATTTTAAGATTTTAAACCCTCATTATTTTATAATCATTTTAACAAATATTATTTTTCTTATAAATGAGTTGTTTATGACATTGTTGGCTTACCTAATTTTAATTAAAGCAATAAAAGCAATATAAATATAATGTTTACAAAATATTATAATGTTACCAAAAAATATTTCATGAAATATTATATATAGTGAATTTATTGAATGAAATTCATTGACTAACGAGTGTAAAATAAAAAACTAGACATATATCTAATCAGTGATACTGTAACTTAAGATTAAAACACATTAATAAACTTTCCATCATTTAAAAGCCTATTTCTCAGACATTAAGTCTAAACAAAAAATAACTTCATTTGAATCAATGATAATCAATAAAAATTTGTATTCAATTTGAGACCTTTAAAAATGTTGTCAAAACACTTTCGCGGAGCACCTGTTGTTTTGTTGATCATAATTTATTGAACATTGATTCAAATGAAGTTATTTTTGTTTAGATTTAATGTCTGAGAGACATGCCTTTAAATAATGCAAAGTTTGTTATTTTGTTAGTACACTCAACATGTTTAACATTTTTACGACAACATGTTGACAATAACGTGTTTAACATATAAATTATATTTCAATACTATCTATAAAAATTTTATAAAGTTATTTGCTATTTATAGTCATAGTATCATAGTATTTGTTTTTATTAAATACTTTTAATATAACTTTTTAATATAAGTTTAAAAGTTTATTATTTTAATAAAATATCACGTAGAGCATATTATATTAAGTGTAATACCCATAATAGGTTAAAAATATTAGTCTATTCCTATTACTATAAAATTGCCTAGATTGTTGTTATTGTTTTTATTAATTAATGATGAATTCTAGAATCGCGGTTAAACATCGGATTGCTTTGTTTATTATATTATGCAACAAATACAATGATCAATTGTAAGACTCATAATAATATTAGTATAAATAGCGCTATTAATTTATTTTATTTGTTATTTATATTATATATTATTATTATACAAATAGAATTTTGTATTTAATTTTCATATTTAATTAAAAATTTATAAACATTTTGATAAACTGGATTTTTTGTTAAATAAAATGCAAAATACAATTAATAAAATATGTTAATTTGTTAAGTTTACTCAATTAAAATATTATATAAACTTAGGTATCTCACAATAAATTAGCATAACAAACACCCAAACAACATTAAGGTTAATGTCATATAATATAACTATAGGTTATGTACACGTTTTGTACACATCCATAGGTTTATATATAATATATAACTACTATAATAAAATACATATTTTTAATAAGAATATTAATATATAACTCACCTTGAGCATTGTGCTAAAATTAATTACAATAAATATTTCTAATTACGGATTTAAATCGTGCTGCCATAAGTAATCCCACGTTATAATTATTTTAGTACTATGTAATATTATAACAATTATTGTAATGTAATACTTATAATAAATAATAATTCTTTTTAATAACTTGAATTATTTTTTATCAATATTTCTTAGGTCATACAAAAGTTTATGAACACAATCGGAGAAATAGCATACAAATGAGTGATATAATCTGAAATGATTTGATAATAAGTTATAAATTATATGTTATTTAAATGTATGGCAAATACCTCATATCCATGGAATCTGTTTATAATGAATAGTTTTCAACAATAAAATCCAATCCTTTTTCGGCCAATTCTTTCGATTATATTTGATAACTATTTCAATGATTTAAAGTTTTAATTATTAAATAAGAGAGAGAGAGAGAGAGAGA